AAGTAGTTGGAATGTTCAAATAAGTATCATTGACGTATTGCTCAAATCTGGGCCAAAATCTGAAGTTTGTTTAAGACCTCAGCATGTATATGTGAAAATAAAGCTCTCCTGAATCTTTGTCTTGTTTATGTATTGCCTCGTAATTCAAAAAGCAGTCTCAACGCACAGTGTCGGTAACATGAGTCGGTCACATTTTTTTTCGAGCAGGATCATTTGCGGCAATCATCATTTACCCCCTCTTGATAAAAAGTTGTTGTACTGGCTCAGTGTTTGAATGAAATGTGAAATGAAACTGAAATTACTAAGCTAATAACCGTGTTGCACTGTATTTGTGAGAGAGTATATGAAGCTTGCAGCAAATGGAAAAAGAAAGTACCAGTATATCGTATATATAAATACATACAACAAGTGCAGTGCCTTTAATTGACTTTGTTGTGTTAGTAAGTCATTGCTTAAAGTGAAAGCAAATTGGGGCAAGTTGGGGTTTCCAGTTCAGTGGTTAGACTTAGAAACTGAACTAGGCATGCCTTTCTCTGTATTTACGACTTTTTAACTATTTAAACTCAATGGTTGCCAATGGGTATATAAGAGTGCATTGCAATTGGACACGGTGCTGCAGTTTGTGTACATATCCATCTTGTTTGTTTTCTCTGATCAGAACTGCAGCTGTAGATCTTGTAAATCTATTCTCCTCGTCAATTATTCAGCGTCCTCAGTCACGGGTTTGATTTTTAGTGCAACACAATCTGGAGTTTCCGCCTTTCTCTTTCATCTCTTGCAGATCGATTTGTGAATGCTTCATACCAAACATTCTCAGCAATGCCATCGATGCGTTGCCTCCCAATGTGTTTGAGTCTGTAGGAGCACATAAGATTGGGGTTTTCACATGTTCAGCTGATTGATTCATCCATAACGCCATAAATATGGATTATCGCAATGATGAGAGCCTTGAGTATAACTGACTTTTGCAAATACCAACAGCTCAATACAGTTATAAGATCTGCGAAAGCAGGAGTCAATCTTTTCCAATGACGCAAAATTATGTCTAAACACTTTAAAGGAGACATTTTGAGCATGGACCACAAATATATACAGAGGATCATTCTTTGCAGATATGGAAAGTTTTCTATTTGCAGGAGGGTTCTGTGCGAATGTCAGCGTCAGGGCGGCAGGCTGAAGTTCCGGCGGGAACACGACAGATGCCCACAGACAGGAGAGAGAGGGAGGGGATTATTAGGCCAGCGGCCCAGACCAGGAGCTGTAACATCCATGTATTATAATGTAAATGAATTGATTTAGTATAAATATATTAAAAGAAACATGTATAATGGATGACATGGACATGTATGGTCACTTGAGCACAGTCCTTCCACCTTCTTTATTTGTAATATACTATTATTACTATTCTGACGTCACCTGTCGTCAGTTCATTACTATTCAACCCCATTGTATGTTTCATAAGCCTTCCCAACCTGGAACTGCAGACCGGTGACCCCTGCCTAGGCTTTTGGGCTGCACCTCTCCCTCTGCTTGTATGCCGTCTTCTGGATCTACAGATGCCTGGGTGCTCTGTCCTCCCTTTGGTGAATCTCATTGACTATGGCTCTAACTGGCTCCCTCTCTCTATGGGTCTCCTTAAGGTTCCTCCATTTCTCAAACTGTGTGTTGAGATTTTGGAAAGTACAAAACAAATTGATATGACTCAACAATGTGTTGTTGCATTCAGCCAAACACAACTCACCACCATTATCTATCAACCTTTTTCATTCAAATAGAAATACTCCCCCAATCCTAGACATCTCCCCTACAGCCTTCACTGCTTTTTCATCAAAGCTGACTTAGGATGGCATGAACAAACTACTCGCTATGTAAAGACCAACTCCTAACTCCACCATATTCCCCCTATGCGCTGCTACAACGCCGCATACATAGATCAGCATGTGCGATATATCCACACGCGGTTTGATGGATGGTCCTCAGCAGTAGAGCGCGCCTGTAACGAGGACCCAATCAGCTTTTCACTGACTAATTATTGATGTGGCTCGCATGTGGTGGACTATAACAAAATACCCCTTCAGACACAGAGTGGTTTAATGAAGCTGGGCGCTCTAAAGGTTGGCGAGGAGATGAAACGACAGCTAACGTGCCAGAATACACATGCTGCGACACCGTGGCTTTCAGCGGACAGTGATGGATGGTCTCAATAATGGCGGCCGCGCAGGTGAAAGAGCGGGCGTTGAAAAGGATGTAAAAAATGGGGGGGTGAGGCGTGAGATAATTGGGAAAGAAGTGAGGTTGTTATGTAGTTCATAGGATTCAGGTCCATGAGTGGGAAATGTAAGAGCAAGTTTCTGAAGGTTAAGACTGTACAGGTAACTTTTGGAATTATGAATGAATGAATGTTTATTTTTGGTCAGTTGTTTGATTCACTGACTATATTACAACCAAAAATAGGATTGGACTGAAGCAACTTGCTTATGTGAGCCCAACCTGTATGTGTGGATGTTTGTATGGATGGATGTGTTTCTGATGCCGGACACCTGCATTTGTCCCTCAGGGATCAATAAACTATTTATCTATTTATTTATGCATATACAGGTATGCATATATTAGAAACTGTCTTTTTAGAAATTATGTGGATTAACTATTGCAGTAAGAGACATAATGTGCCCATGCTGCCATCTTATAAATGGGAAACAAAGCATACCAAATGTACATGTAAATCCAACATGGCATAGTCTAATTATTGAGAGCACGAAAAGGGAATGTAATTTGAGTGAAGAAATTCAGAAAACTAATGCATGCACTTTTTAAAAAGGCTCTTTCCATGATGAATATTTGTGTATGGGATTTGTCACAGTGGATCAATTTTGAGATATTAGCATGGATTCGCTAGAACATCTACTAACAGAACCACAAAAACTGAAGGACTCAAAATGCAACGACTCCAGGTAAGTTTTAATACAAAGAAATAAGGCTTGAAGGCTTACACACACAGTACAAGACAATCTAACACAGAACAATGAAACAGGGGGTTTATGTACACTGGAAGGAGTAGACAAAGGGATCCAGGTGCAACACATTAGGCAACCACACCCTTTGACCCTCTTTGTACTGTGGGGCTGGACTCCGATGATTGTCAGATGATCTCATATAAACCCTCGACTGACGCAGTGTTTGTCGGGCTCAGCTCCAGATCCGATGGCAACGGCAAACAAAGGCCTGGGCTGCTGGCACACCCACTTCTTTCTCCAGAGCTAAGAAAAGTGGGGGTTGATACCCATAAGCACACTGAAAGGGCGTAAGTCCATGAGAAGCACAGGGGAGTGAAGTGTGAGCATATTCTACCCATAATAGGTGCTTACTCCAAGACATAGGATTCCTTGAGACCAGAGACCGCAACCCTTTCTCCAGTTCCTAGTTCAATCATTCAGTCTGGCAATTGGACTGGGGATGTTACCCCAAAGAGAGACTGACTGAAGTCCCCAAGAGGGAGCAGAAGGCTTTCCAAAAGCGGGAGGTGAACTGGGGTGCCCTGTCGGAGATTACATCTCTCGGAAGTCCATGTAACCTGAACACATGTACAAGAACCAACTCCACTGTTTCCTTTGCGGTGGGCAGTTTAGGCAGAGGAATGAAATGAGCCATTTTAGAAAATCTGTCCACATCAGTGAGGATTGCGGTGTTACCTTCAGACAGAGAAGGTACAAAGTCCATAGATATGTCAGACCAGAGGCCTGCTGGAACTGGAACAGGATGGAGATGACCAGCTGGAGGTAGGTTTGTCGACTTGTTCTGAGCACAAACAGGACATGCGGCAACATAGTCCTTGACATGCTTCTCCATGGCTGGCCACCAGAATCTTTGTTGCACTGTGAAAAGAGTTATTTTGACCTGGATGACAGAAACCCTTTGAGGTGTGGGACCACGTGATGACTTGAGAACGAAGGTCAGGGGGTACAAACAAGTGGTTAGCTGGTGACATTGGAATGTTATTTAAATTATAATTTTAGTAAATCACATGTGGCTAAAATATATTGTATTGAAACTCACTGTTGGTTCCAGCCAGTCTTCTGGGCAACAGGGGTTTTATTCAGATGAGACCAGGCTAGGCACATTGTTTCTTTGATATGCTAAGTACCAAATGTCTCATTGTGAAACTGACTGACTGTGTGGAAATGGAGGTGTGTCTTATCTCCTTGAATACTACGGTACAGCCTGAAATGCTTCAGATCTGTTCTGATAGAGGCAGAGCTGTTGTTCTCTGACTCTATCAAGACATTTCTCCTTGTACCGGGTAACAAGTAAAAGATTAACTATGTCTATTTGTTGTGTGAGATTTTGTCAGGTTCAACTTTGGTTGAAACAGCCTTAACAGGTTGACAGCCAGGTGGAAGAGGCATGTCCTTTGTAGCCTGCTTAACCCTCTCCTCTACTTCCCAGAACGCTGCCCCAACCACACACGTAGAGGGCAGGATAGTCTCTAGAGGTTGAGTGGCTGATGCAGTCACAAAAATGCAGGATAGGGCATCTGGCTTAGCATTCTTTGAACCAGGGCGATAAGACAAGGTGAAATCTAATCTATAAAAAAAAAATAGGACATGCATTGCCTTTCTGGAATTCAGTCTTTTGGCAGTACAAAGATACTCCAGATTTTTGTGATCAGTCCAGACAAGGAGTAAAGGCGGCCTTTGGGGGAGCAGTTCCAGGCAGCAAGTCAATGGCACAGTCATTTTCCCTATGAGGCGGTAACGAGGTAGCCCGGGCCTTGTTAAAGACTTCCTTAAGGTCATGGTATCATAAGGGAACGCAAGACAGATCTGGATAGTCTTTTTCAGAAAATTGAACTGGACTAGGCCTCCTCTCAGCAAAGCAATTGACACAGTCATCTCCCCAGGCCTTAATGAGACCAGAGATGCATTCTATGTGGGGATTATGCTGCAGCAACCAGGGCAGGCCCAGGATTATAGGGTGAAGGGAGGAGTGAAATAGATGAAAACTTAGTGTCTCTTCTCTTGCGAGTTACCCATCACACCACCCCAGTAACCTTCTGTTTTCCTGCCGTCCACAGCAGTGGCCACCAGGAGAGCAGCAAGGGGCACGAGCCCCAAACCCAGATCTTTGGCTAGGTCAATGTCCATAAGGTTAGCATCAGTACCAGAGTCCACCATCACCACCTGTTTACGAGGGGCACAGAGAGAAGTTATAGTCACTGAACACAGGATGAGAGGGGGTTGTACAGTACATACATGTGTTCGGCTCACGAGCACCCTCTCCTTAACTGATGAGCCTCACCTTTAACTGGACAGTGACTGGTAAAATGCCCCATTCGACCACAATTGACGCATCGCCCTCCACAAATCCGGCGCTGTCTCTCCGCTGAAGTCAGATGAGTACGACCTAGTTGAATGGGTTCTTCGGGTAGGTCAGTACACACAGAGCCAAAGGGAGGCAGAGATGCACTTGTCAATCTTTATTACCAGGGAAGTAAGTTAATCCAAATCATCCGGCAAGTCCAAGGGGGCAAGCTGGTCCTTTAGTGTATTGGAGAGACCATGTAAGAAGGCATCAATCAGAGCAGACTGGTTCCACTCACTCTCTGCAGCTAGGGTCCGAAATTTGATGGCGTAGTCAGATGCCCTGTGTCTTCCTTGATGCAGACTCACTAAGGCCCTGGCCGCCTCCCGTCCCGGGGAGATATGTTGAAGAACTTGGGTGAAAGACTTTATGAACTGACGGAGATTCAAACACACGGGTGAATTACGGCTCCACTCGGCTGTTGCCCAAGCCTCAGCAGGACCAGATAGGTGGGATACAATGCAGGCAATCTTGGCACGGTCAGAGGGATAGGCCAGTGCCTGGAGCTCAAAGTGAAGATTACATAGGGTGAGAAAAGCTTTACAGTCTCCAGACTCACCAGAAAAGTGTTCCGGCTGAGACAAATGTGGGATGGAAACATGATGGACAGGTTGGTGAGTGAGCTGAGGAGCTGATTGTAGTGAAGCTGCCACACTCGTATCCTGAGAAACTTGAGTAGCAGCATGTGGAGGAGGGGCCGAGGTGGTGAGGGCTTATTTAGCTTTGATGAGATAATCAAATTGCTCACCAATTGCAGTCAGGAGATCCGAAAAATTCTGTAAAACACTCTGTAGCTCCAGTTTCACGGCAGTAAGTCCTTGTTCTTCCTGAGAAATCATCTGCCCATGAACACCCAGTGCATTTTTAAGCTGGTTTGAGTCGGTCGGTTCCATACAGTGGCCAGATTGTACTATCAGAACCATAAAAACAGAAGGACTCAAAATGCAACTACTCCAGGTAAGTTTTAAGACAAAAAGTAAGGCTTGAAGGCTTACACACATGGTACAAGACAATCTGGCACAGAACAATGAAACGGGGGGTTTATGTACACTGGAAAGAGTAGACAATGGGACCCTGGTGCAACACATTAGGGCGGGGGAAGGTTATCACAGGAGAGAAGGCAGACAAGGACCAAGAAGTGAACATCTCTGCAATGAGACACACAAGGTAAGTACAAAATAAAACTGGAAGTAAAGTCTCAGGACTGGGGTGTGACATCTACAGGTAGGGTTGCCAACCGTCCCTTAAAGGAACTATTTATTGTCTAATGAGTTCAGAAAAATGCGTATTACTACATAGCTACCTCCTCTGGCTGTAACAGCATACACAGCAACACAGCCCAAAAGACTGAAAAGTGAGGAAAAGAAGAGGGAACTAATGCGAAAAAATGGTCAAAGAAGAAATCAAGCCCGGGTGAACATAGGTAGCTTACATTGTATTCTCGCTGGAGAGACCTGCTGGAGCAGGACCTCCTCGGACTACATTCGGACGCTAAACTGGCGGTACTCTTTTAGTTATTGTACTGCATATTTTGTTAGCAGAGCGTTGCTTTTGTACCATTTCAGCAGTGATTGTTGAACAGCTTACAATAAGTGGTGCTAATGCTAACATTTGCGTATGTATCAGATCACAACTAAAACTAGATGGCTCAGTGGGAGGAGAGCGTAGGGGAGAGTAGGAGGGTTTTTCAAAATGACAAGCCTGTGAGCGAGTTGGGGACCGGTGCTAAACATTCAAACTGAAAAAAACCTTGCAGAAACGGGTATAACTCCTTTAAGATACGTAATTGTCCCGTGATTTAAAAAACTATGTATGACATTTATGACAGTTTAAGCAACATGTGTCAAAGTCAAGGCCCGCGGGCCAAATCCGGCCCGCGAATGAAATTTACATGGCCCGTTGCCTGCCATTGACGCACTATTACGTCAATAGTGCGCACCTTGTCCTTTTGAATAAGAAAAACAGGATTTTAGGGTTTTTTTTGCATTTCCATTAGGGTTGGGGTTGGGATTACCCCATCAATGTTGCTAGTTACGCGTAGCGCGTAAATGACGTGGTCTGACAACCCCTCCCACCCTGAGGAGATACCTGGAGGTACTAGTTTAAATGGAACAGCACCCACACTCGGCCGTGCTGTGTAGTGCCGTCCCTATGGAAAAGCACCACCTGTTTACGTGGGGTGCGTGTACCACACTGGATTTGAGAAAGTGCAATAGTAGCGTACTGTCAATCATGAATCATGAATCATTTGTTTTTTATCGTGGGTCAAAGCTGTCTTATAAAACTGAATTATTGAACTAAATTTGTAATTATGTGAATTGTTAATTGAAGCAAAGTTATGGATGGAAAGTAGCTGCAGCTACATCTGGTGCAAACCATCTCTTCTTTTGTAAAGACTAATGGTTTTTGTACATTGTCCCCGTTTTATAAACAATAAACTAAACTATAGAGTCATGTGTAAATTATTTGCTAAATGAATATAATGAATTTGCATTTAACAAAAATGGAGTCAAATTGTGACCCAAAAATTAAATTGGGGATGCATATATGTATGTATGTAAGTATTTATGTATGTATGTATATGTACATACAACACTGAAAACTGTTGTTTTAGATATAAGAAAATTTGCATAATTCCCCTTTAGATATCACAAAGAAACATGTGAGCATTCATTTCAATTCAGCTTTCATCATAATGGATTTCCAGCACTAGAGGGTCATAATGGCTTCAGTTCAAAATTACATTTGTGCAATAATGTGAACTGTACATCACATCAATTTATGCTTGAGACGGAATAATATAGTGTTTGTTCAAATTGACTGAGCAATGTTGAAGCGGGTGAAACATATGGTTTTGTGATTTTTTTATAACTTTAACCCCTTGGGACAGCAGATTGAAATTAGTCTGTTCATTAATATTTTATGTAATTGTAATTAGGGATGTAAAAAACTATGAATTTTCATGACCGACCACCGAGCCTCATTAACCGGTTGAAACCGGTTAACCGCGTAGTTTAAAATAGTCCACGTTCTTTGAAATAACAGCCATTTCGAGCCGCGTACTTTTCATAAGTGCAGCTCTGCGTTCTACTGGATCAGAGCCGAGACAGCGGCGCCCAAACCCGCAACAGCTCCGGCACCTTTGCGCACAGAGAACTGCTTTTTTAATCTTCCCATTCTGCTGTACTGCGGGTTAATACCAAAACTTTCTAGCAGCAAAGACGGCTCGTTCACATGGTCAGAGCAGCGAGTGACGAGCCGCGTCTCACAGGTCTTCACAAAAGTTTAAATACAAGTGATGTGTGTGGATCTGATCCCGAGGACCATAAACACAAACATGTTTCCCCTACAGCAAAACATGTAGGGGAAATACGCGACTCCCAAAGGAGCCGCGTATTGCTCCGTGACACAGAGGAGCGCGACAGACCGGTATGTGTATGTGTATGTATGTGTGTGTGTATGTATGTGTGTGTGTGTGTATGTATATGTGTGTGTGTAAATGTAAGCTCCAATGTAGTTCTGACCCGCGCCAGTGTGCAACTTTGACGGTGAGGGGAGAGATGATGCGTGTGGATGTTACGTATGGAGAGGGGGAAAGTGTGTGTGTGTGTGTGCGCGCGTGCGTGTGTGCATATGTGGCTCGTGCGGCGTAAGAGTCGTCCCGGAGTTTATAATACATGGGCGCATACAGCTAGATACAGACCCGCTCGTCACACCGTGCAAATAGGGCTTAAAATAGCGTTATTAAGAGACCTCCCCTCTCCCCTTTTTCTCTTTTTTAACCGACAGCTTTGACCGGTTAACGCTGTGATGGTCAACCACCGGTTAACCGGTCGCCGATTTACATCCCTAATTGTAATACAGACATTCTCATTCATTCATCAGCTCTTACGCTCCTTACTAAAAAGGCGCATTGCTGTGTCTGTGGCGCACACACACACACACACACACGTGTCTTTCCCCAAACAACGTGATCCGTGCTCGAGCTGTTAGCGCTACAGTAGCAAAATGTAAACAAAAAAAAAACAGACCTTAACTCTTGACACGAGGTAGTCGCTGAAGTTATTATTAGCGCCACCAGCTGGATCGAGCGTTGTACTACAGCGCATTTGGTCTGGAACGGTCGTCTTCACACTCCTGTGGCGACGATCCGGGCCACTTGGCCTAGTGCCTGTGTAAAAACCTATGTGACCGTAACACCAAATAGAAGAAATTCAGGCTTGCATTATTCCATCCAGAAAATACCAAGAACATAACATCCAATTTTGTCACAACAATATGCTTTTTTTGTTGCTAAGGAAAAATCTTAGGATCGACACAGAACTCCCACTTTAATGTGAACTGGGATTAAGATGTGGCCAGTTGCTTAATTTGTCAGTTCAGTCAAGAAGCATGAAAACAAGAGGAGAGTCATATGTCACATTGGCTCGTGAGCTGTTCCTCATAAGGTCGTGGGCAGTGGAATAATTGTCATGTTTGGTTTGACACTGTGGTGGTTCAGAGGTGTCAGTTTGAGTATAAATTAGAGCTTGTGAGTCAGCCGATAGCAACAGCTGATTCACAACTCAAGCCCTGACAGGACCATATTATTAAAGCATAACTCATTTGTGATATTTGGAGCTTTGTCACTTTTTTTCTCACAGTGATGGGTGACACTGAAACTCTCATCTCTCAACTAGTGCCCAGTTGTGTGACCTTGAAGAGGATTCTCTGTCCAGAGTTTGGCTGCTGTCCCGGTTTGTCTGTGTGTGTCTGAATAATCCGGCATTTTTAATCTGTCCAAGACCTTTTGTCACCGGTCATTGAATAGTAATCCAAAGGTGCCCCTCCATGTTTTCAGTCCAGTTTGCCAAACTTTGCTCAAATCAACTCCAAAAAGACAGAGAGAATTGCATGATTAAACTCAGCTCAATTGTGATGTCACTGTGTTCCTCCATTTGCTCCATGGAAGAGAAGCTTTCAAAGTAAAGTCCCAAGATATTTTCAATTAAATTCAAAATTCTTTCTTAGTTGTCCTGGAAGAGCTGGAATGTACTTTCTGACCAAACGAAGAGGATAAAACCATCCATGGTCATTCACTACATGCTGCCAATTCTTTTTATACCTATTACCACTTTTTGAAGACAAGTATTGGTTAGAACTGCCCATGCTCATCTCTGTAGCGTTCTGATGGGTCAAAATGAATTCAAATCCATGAGGCCTCTTGTCATTGGTTTAACTATTCTCCCCTAGAACGTACTAATGTAGTTACGCTAAGAGGAGGGTCTGTTTTAACCTCATCAATGTTTTCTCTGGTAATGTGTGTTTATTAATGTGTGTGGGTTTTCACCTTCAACCCAGAGAACTATTATAAAAGCTGAACACGGGTTGTTTGAACACACAGTCTATAGAGAATTTTTCAAGCCCAGAAGGTTCAGTAACGGTATTTATCCACAAGGGATTCTCAGAAAAAAGGAGCTGGGGTCTCATATAAAAGAGTGCGTCAAGACTATATATAGCAAGAATAACACAGGGAGTAGGAGTTTTGCATATACATACAAAGCAAAACCCTTGAAATCTGCAGTTATGACCCAGCCTCATGTCCCACCCTCTTCACACCTCCCGTTACGTTCACCATATGGAACTATAAATGACTTCATGAATGAGATTTACTTAAACATTATGTGATAATGAGTGAGTTTGATT